TGGAATCTGATTGATTGATTGCTTCTGTGGACAGGTGTCTTTTATACAGGTAACAAACTGAGATTAGGAGCACTCCCTTTAAGAGTGTGCTCCTAATCTCAGCTCGTTACCTGTATAAAAGACACATGGGAGCCAGAAATCTTTCTGATTGAGAGGGGGTCAAATACTTATTTCCCTCATTAAAATGCAAATAAATGTATAACATTTTTGACATGCGTTTTCCTGGATTTTGTTGTTGTTATTCTGTCTCTCACTGTTCAAATAAACCTACCATTAAAATTAGACTGATCATTTCTTTGTCAGTGGGCAAACGTACAAAATCAGCAGGGGATCAAATACTTTTTTCCCCTCACTGTATGTACATGCTAGTGTGTTGAAAAGGGACATAGCCTCCAGCCAACAGCCTGAAATTGTATTAAGGAGCAGACAGACACACTGCTATAGCATTATAGTCATATTGCAGATGGACCTGTACACCTAAAACCTTTTATATGCATTTTATAAATCGTCTACTTTGTTACATACAGTACCAGTCAAGTATGGACACACCTCCTTCCCTACATAGGGCTCATAGGGCTCTGGTCAACAGGAGTGTACTATATAGGGAATAGGGTGCCATTTGGGATGTATCCTGACATACACGTTTTAGAACACCTACTCATTCCAGGGTTTTTCTTTATTTTTACTATTTTCTACATTGTAGAATAATAGTGAAGACATCAAAACTATTAAATAACACATATGGAATCATGAAGTAACCAAAAAATTGTTAAACAAATCTAAATATATTTTATATTTGAGATTCTTCAAATAGCCACCCTTCGCCTTGATGAAAGCTTGGCAAACTCTTGGCATTCTCTCAACCAGGTTCATGAGGTAGTCACCTGGAATGCATTTCAATTAACAGGTGTGCCTTCTTAAAAAGTTAATTTGTGGAATTTATTTCCTTCTTAATGCGTTTGAGCCAATCAGTTGTCTTGTGACATACAGTTGAAGTCGGAAGTTTACATACACTTAGGGTGGAGTTTTTCAACCACTCCACAAATTTCTTTTTAACAAACTATAGCTTTGGCAAGTCGGTTAGGACATCTACTTTGTGCATGACATGTACTTTTTCCAACAATTGTTTACAGACAGATTATTTCACTGTATCACAATTCCAGTGGGTCAGAAGTTTACATACACTAAGTTGACTGTGCCTTTAAACAGCTTGGAAAATTCGAAAAAATGATGTCATGTCTTTAGAAGCTTCTGATAGGCTAATTGACATCATTTGAGTCAATTGGAGGTGTACCTGTGGATGTATTTCAAGGCCTACCTTCAAACTCAGTGCCTCTTTGCTTGACATCATGGGAAAATCAAAAGAAATCAGCCAAGACGTCAGAAAAAAAATTGTAGACCTCCATAAGTCTGGTTCATCCTTGGGAGCAATTTCCAAACGCCTGAAGGTACCACATTCATCTGTACAAACAATAGTACGCAAGTATAAACACCATGGGACCACGCAGCCGTCATACCGCTCAGGAAGGAGACACGTTCTGTCTCCTAGAGATGAACGTACGTTTGGTGCGAAAAGTGCAAATCAATCCCAGAACAACAGCAAAGGACCCTGTGAAGATGCTGGAGGAAACAGGTACAAAAGTATCTATATCCACAGAAAAACGAGTCCTATATTGACATAACCTGAAAGGCCGCTCAGCAAGGAAGAAGCCACTGCTCCAAAACCGCCATAAAAAAGCCAGACTACGGTTTGCAACTGCACATGGGGACAAAGCTCGTACTTTTTGGAGAAATGTCCTCTGGTCTGATGAAACAAAAATAGAAGTGTTTGGCCATAATGACCATTGTTATGTTTGGAGGAAAAAGGGGTAGACTTGCAAGCCGAAGAACACCATCCCAACCGTGAAGCACGGGGGTGGCAGCATCATGCTGTGGGGGTGCTTTGCTGCAGGAGGGACTGGTGCAATTCACAAAATAGATGGCATCATGAGGAAGGAAAATTATGTGGATATATTGAAGCAACATCAAGACATCAGTCAGGAAGTTAAAGCTTGGTCGCAAATGGGTCTTCCAAATGGACAATGACCCCAAGCATACTTCCAAAGTTGTGGCAAAATGGCTTAAGGACAACAAATTCAAGGTATTGGAGTGGCCATCACAAAGACATGACCTCAATCCTGTAGAAAATGTGTGGGCAGAACTGAAAAAGCGTGTGCGACCAAGGAGGCCTACAAACCTGACTCAGTTACACCAGCTCTGTCAGGAGGAATGGGCCAAAATTCACCCAACTTATTGTGGGAAGCTTGTGGAAGGCTACCTGAAACGTTTGACCCACGTTAAACAATTTAAAGGCAATGCTACCAAATACTAATTGAGTGTATGTAAACTTCTGACCCACTGGGAATGTGATGAAAGAAATAAAAGCTGAAATAAATCATTCTCTCTACTATTATTCTGACATTTCACATTCTTAGAATAAAGTGGTGATCCTAACTGACCTAAGACAGGGAATGTTTACTAGGATTAAATGTCAGGAATTGTGAAAAACTTTGTTTAAATGTATTTGGCTAAGGTGTATGTAAACTTCCGACTTCAACTGTAAATACCTTATTTACATAAGTATTCAAAAACCAATCCATGAGGTCGAAGGAATTGTCCGAGACAGGATTGTGTCGAGGCACAGATCTGGGGAAGGATACCAAAACATTTCTGCAGCATTGAAGAAGGTCCAAGAACACAGTGGCCTCCATCATTCTTAAATGGAAGAAGTTTGGAACCACCAAGACTCTTCCTAGAGCAAGGTAGGGGGGTATACAGAAGATAGCCATATTTGGTAAAAGACCAAGTCCATATTATGGCAAGAACAGCTCAAATAAACTAAGAGAAACGACAGTCCATCATTACTTTAAGACATGAAGGTCAGTAAATACGGAATATTTCAAGAACTTTGGAAAGTTTCTTAGAGTGCAGTCGCAAAACCCATCAAGCGCTATGATAAAACTGGCTCTCATGAGGACCGCCACAGGAATGGAAGGCCCAGCGCTACCTCTGCTGCAGAGGATAAGTTCATTACAGTTACCAGCCTCAGAAATTGCAGTCCAAATAAATGCTTCACAGAGCTCAAATAACAGACACATCTCAACATCAACTGTTCAGAGGAGACTGCGTGAATCAGGCCTTCATGGTCGAATTGCTGCAAAGAAACCACTACTAAAGGACACCAATAAGAAGAAGAGACCTGCTTGGTCCAAGAAACACGAGCAATGGACATTAGACCGGTGGAAATGTGTCCTTTGGTCTGGAGTCCAAATGTGAGATTTATGCTTCCAACCCGCTGTGTCTTTGTGTGGTTCCCACCGTGAAGCATGGAGGAGGAGGTGTTATGGCATCGTGAAGCATGGAGGAGGAGGTGTTATGGCGTGGGGATGCTTTTGCTGGTGACACTGTCTGTGATTTATTTAGAATTCAAGGCACACTTAACCAGCATGGCTACCACAGCATTCTGCAGCGATACGCCATCCCATCTGGTTTGGGCTTAGTGGAACTGTCATTTGTTTTTCCAACAGGACAATGACCCAAAACACACCTCCAGGCTGTGTAAGGGCTATTTGACCAAGGAGGGTGATGAAGTGCTGCATCAGAAGACCTGGCCTCCACAATCACCCGACCTCAACCCAACTGAGATGAGTTGGACCACAGAGTGAAGGAAAAGCAACCAACAAGTGCTCAGACTATGTGGGAACTCCTTCAAGACTGTTGGAAAAGCATTCCTCATGAAGCTGGTTGAGAGAATGGGCGGCAGGTAGCTTAGTGGGTAAGAGCGTTGTGCCAGTAACCGAAAGGTCGCTGGTCCTAATCCCCGAGCCGACTAGGTGAAAAATCTGTCGATGTGCCCCTGAGCAAGGCACTTAACCCTAATTGCTCCTGTAAGTCGCTCTGGATAAGAGCGTCTGCTAAATGACTAAAAAATAAAATAATAAAATAATAATGCCAAGAGCGTGCAAAGCTGTCAACAAGGCAAAGGTTGTCTACTTTGAAGAATCTCAAATATAACATATTTTGATTTGTTTAACACTTTTTTGGTTACTACATGATTCCATATGTGTTATTTCATAGTTTTGATGTCTTCACTATTATTCTACAATGTAGAAAATAGTAAAAATAAAGAAAAACCCTTGAATGGTACTGTATATCAATGTTATTAGACAGGAGGAGGATTAGGATTATAGGTTGCACTCTTGTTATCATCCTACAGATTGCAGTATTGCTTCTTCTTTTAAAGCAGTTTATCACAACATTGTTAATGGAGGAACCCTGGCCTGTATCAGTATCTGATGGTGAATTACTTCTATTTGACAAAGTCATCTAACTCTCTGATTAGCCCTTTCTGCAGGCTACTATAGAAACTCCAATCAACATAGCTACAGCCTAAATCCACTCACATCAGATAATCTCCTCCTTGTGTTATAACCTACTAATCATTTTTTTTTATTTTTAACGATGTATGATAAACTGACATATTTCTTCCATAAAACAAAAACGTGGCATTATTACATATTTGACCAGCTACAACTTAGCATTCTGTCACGTGCAATTAAAGCGACGATTTTAATTGGTTGATACGCATTTTGAGCCGGAGAAACAGTTTAAATTTAAATGACTGCTTATGTTCACAATCACAGCCCCAACCATTTTCAAATTCAAAACCATAACACACTAAATAGACCAAATATAACATGAAGTGGCATTACGTCTGTAAACATGGCCAACAGTAATTAGTTTGTTTTTGTGTTTAAAGTAATATTCCATCGTAAATATGACGTATGCTACACAAAAACTTAAAAGAAAAGAAGAAGCAAGTCTGTAAACAAACAATATAGCGTACAGTAATGAAAACATATCCATGATCCAATACCAGAGAGGCAGGATGGTAACCTAAATATTGCTGAGCCAGGGGAGAAAAAAACCAGATGACAAGACAACAAGGAAACATTCGTACCCATAGCGATGGGGATGTCGGTCCAGTTGAGGGCACACTTCTGAGTGCAGACCCCCTCCTCGTTGAGGACCACTGTGAGGTCATCCTGACCCAACGCCACCTTCCCATCAGCCAGGGGAACCACCAGCGGCTCCAGCTGCTTCCCCGTGGGGAAGAGCTCCTTGATGGAACCACGACCATCCATCTGGAGGACAAAGAGAAAGAGAGAGAGACAGACAAAGAGATAGATGTCAGGGGAGAGGTCTGAGGATACATAGGGAAATAACACAACTAATCTATTTCCTCTTTCTGTCCTGTCCTTAAGCTACTGAAAGCTGAACTAAAACAGCCTAATTATAAGCTTGAACTAAAACAGGCTAATTATAAGCTTGAACTAAAACAGCCTAATTATAAGCTTGAACTAAAACAGCCTAATTATAAGCTTGAACTAAAACAGCCTAATTATAAGCTTGAACTAAAACAGCCTAATTATAAGCTTGAACTAAAACAGCCTAATTATAAGCTTGAACTAAAACAGCCTAATTATAAGCTTGAACTAAAACAGGCTAATTATAAGCTTGAACTAAAACAGCCTAATTATAAGCTTGAACTAAAACAGCCTAATTATAAGCTTGAACTAAAACAGCCTAATTATAAGCTTGAACTAAACCAGCCTAATTATAAGCTTGAACTAAACCAGCCTAATTATAAGCTTGAACTAAACCAGCCTAATTATAAGCTTGAACTAAAACAGCCTAATTATAAGCTTGAACTAAAACAGCCTAATTATAAGCTTGAACTAAAACAGCCTAATTATAAGCTTCCGCCATATTTTTGTTAACTTGTCAAGTCATCTCCGATCAGTGCAGATGAAGAGGGTAATTGAGATCGAGTCAAAGCCCCTCTTCGTAAATACTTCATAATGACAGCTCATATACATAATAGATCATATTATAGATGTCTTCCCGAAGGTTCACATGAAATCAACACACAGCGTTTCCTTTGTTCTGACCCACTGACCCGGATGAGGTAGTAGTCCCTCTTGAAGCCCACACAGATGGAGTTCTGACACCAGGCCATGGACTTAGGGATGTCTGGTGCAGCAAAGTCACCCTGACACACACAAACAAAAACAAAAACAACATCAGGTTAATACTTATTGGTTAACAATATCCCTCTAAAATGTGAGGACTGCATTTTCCTCCACCATTCCCATGTTCTCTTCTATCCACTCACTCGCACATCTTGCAGGCCTGGAATTTCATGATTTAATGGGCAAGGCCATTTGGCCTTAGAGAGGAGCGGAGCCCAATCCGTCATGTCAAGAACGATGCTGACAGAAGGCGCCGCAAAATAAAAAACCAAACTCTAAATGAGACTTTTAATTCCATACATACAGTCACCTTACCCCCATACATACAGTGCCTTTCGGAAAGTATTCAGACCCTTTGACTTTTCCCACATTTTGTTACGTTACAGCCTTATTCTAAAATTGATTAAATAAATACAAAAATCTCATCATTGTACACACAATACCCCATAATGACAAAGCGAAAACAGGTTTTTTGAATATTTTGAAAATGTATAGAAAATTAAAAACATAAATACCTTATTTACATAAGTATTCAGACCCTATGCTATGGGACTTGAAATTGAGCTCAGGTGCATCCTGTTTCCATTGATCATCCTTGAGATGTTTCCACAACTTGATTGGAGTCCACCTGTGGTAAATTAAATTGATTGGACATGATTTGGAAAGGCACACACCTGTCTATATAAGGTCCCACAGTTAACAGTGCATGTCAGAGCAAAAACCAAGCCATGAGATCGAAGGAATTGTCCGTCGAGCTCCGAGACAGGATTGTGTCGAGGCACAGATTTGGGAAAGGGTACCAAAAATGTCTGCAGCATTGAAGATCCCCAAGAACACAGTGGCCTCCATCATTCTTAAATAGAAGAAGTTTGGAACCACAAAGACTGGCCGCCCGGAAAAACTGTGCAATTGGGGGAGAAGGGCCTTGGTCACGGAGGTGACCAAGAATCCGATGGTCACTCTGACAGAGCTCTAGAGTTCCTCTGTGGAGATGGGACAACCTTCCAGAAGGACAACCATCTCCGCAGCACTCCACCAATCAGGCCTTTATGGTAGAGTGGCCAGACGGAAGCCACTCCTCAGTAAAAGGCACAAGACAGCCCGCTTGGAGTTTGCCAAAAGGCACCTAAAGGACTCTCAGACCATGAGAAACACGATTCTCTGGTCTGATGAAACCAGATTGAACTCTTTGGCCTGAATGCAAAGCGTCATGTCTGGAGGAAACCTGGCACCATCCCTACGGTGAAGCATGGTGTCGGCAGCATCATGCTGTGGGGATGTTTTTCAGCAGCAGGGACTGGGAGACTAGTCAGGATCGAGGCAAAGATGAACGAAGCAAAGTACAGAGAGATCCTTGATGAAAACCTGCTCCAGAGCGCTCAGGACCTCAGACTGGGGCGAAGGTTCACCTTCCAACAGGACAACGACCCTAAGCACACAGCCAAGACAACGCAGGAGTGGCTTTGGGACAAGTCTCTGAATGTCCTTGAGTGGCTCAGCCAGAGCCCGGACTTGAACCAGATCGAACATCTCTGGAGAGACCTGAAAATAGCTGTGCAGCGACACTCCCCCTCCAACCTGACAGAGCTTGAGAAGATCTGCAGAGAAGAATGGGAGAAACTCCCCAAATACAGGTGTGCCAAGCTTGAAGCGTCATACCCAAGAAGACTCAAGGCTGTAATCGCTGCCAAAGGTGCTTCAAAGTACTGAGTAAAGGGTCTGAAAACTTATGTAAATGTGATATTTCAAAAAATGTTGTGCAAACATTTATTTAAAAACCTCTTTTTGCTTTGTCATTATGGGAAAGAGAAATATGGGTATTGTGTGTAGATTGATGAGGGAAAAAACCAATGTAATCAATTTTAGACTAAGGCTGTAACGTAACAAAATGTGGAAAAAGTCAAGGGGTCTGAAAACTTTCCGAATGCACTGTATATACTGTCGAAATTCGATAAGAAGGGCGCGCGCCATTGCATCCCAGATGTGTCAGTCTTCACTAGTAGCCTACTTTGGAGCTCAGATGCCGGAGAACGACCCGATCACATGACGGGCATTGGCTAATAAGCATTGATATACACTACCAGTCAAAAAGTTTGGACACACCTACTCATTCAAGGGTTATTCTTTATTTTTACTATTTTCTACATTGTAGAATAATTGTGAAGACATCAAAACTATGAAATAACTCATATGGAATCATGTAGTAACCAAAAAAAAAAAGTGTTAAATCAAAATCTATTTTATATTTTAGATTCTTCAAAGTAGCCACCCTTTGCCTTGATGACAGCTTTACACACTCTTGGCATTCTCTCAACCAGATTCACCTGGAATGTTTGTTGGCTGCTTTTCCTTCACTCTGCGTTCCGACTCATCTCAAACCATCTCAATTGGGTTGAGTTTGGGTGATTGTGGAGGCCAGGTCATCTGATGCAGCACTCCATCACTCTCCTTCTTGGTCAAATAGCCCTTACACAGCCTGGAGGTGTGTTGGGTCATTGTCCTGTTGAAAAACAAATGATAGTCCCACTAAGCGCAAACCAGATGGGATGGCGTATCACTGCAGAATGCTGTGGTAGCCATGCTGGTTAAGTGTGCCTTGAATTCTAAATAAATCACAGACAGTGTCACCAGCAAAGCACCCCCACACCATCACACCTCCTCCACCATGCTTCACGGTGGGAACCACACATGCTGAGATCATCCGTTTACCTACTCTGTCTCACAAAGACACGGCGATTGGAACCCAAAATCTCACATTTGGACTCATCAGATCAAAGGACAGATTTCCACCGGTCTAATGTCCATTGCTTGAGTTTCTTGGCCCAAGCAAGTCTCTTCTTCTTATTGGTGTCCTTTAGTTGTAGTTTATTTGCAACAATTCGACCATGAAGGCCTGATTCATGCAGTCTCCTCTGAACAGTTGATGTTGAGATGTGTCTGTTACTTGAACTCTGTGAAGCATTTATTTGGGCTGCAATTTCTGAGGCTGGTAACTCTAACGAACTTAACAACAGAGGTAACTCTGGGTCTTTTTCCTGTGGCTGTCCTTATGAGGGCCAGTTTCACCATAGCGCTTGATGGGTTTTGCGACTGCACTTACAGAAACTTTCTAAGTTCTTGAAATTTTCCAGATTGACTGACCTTCATGTCTTAAAGTAATGATGGACCGTCGTTTCTCTTTGCTTATTTGAGATGTTCATAATATGGACTTGGTCTTTTACCAAATAGGGCTATCTTCTGTATACCCCCCTACCCTGTCAAAACACAACTGATTGGATCAAACGCATTAAGAAAATAAATTCCACAAATTAACTTTCAACATGGCACACCTGTTAATTGAAATGCATTCCAGGTGACTACATCATGAATCTGGTTGAGAGAATGGCAAGAGTGTGCAAAGCTGTCATCAAGGCAAAGGATGGCTACTTTGAAGAATCACTACATGATTCCATATGTGTTATTTCATAGTTTTGATGTCTTCACTATTATTCTACAATTTAGAAAAAAATAAAAAAAAATAAAGAAAAACCCTGGAATGAGTAGGTGTCCAAACTTCTGACTGGTACTGTATCTGAGACAGCCATGTGGCTTCGGAACAGGGCGATTGGCAGCCGGGAGAAGGGAATTATAATATTCAGCCTGAGGGCACAACGGACACTTTGGCCGCAAGACATGGATTTTTAGGGGACATTACAGCCACACAAGGGGAAATTACAGCCACACAAGGGGAGTTACAGCCACACAAGGGGGCATTACAGCCACACAAGGGGGAATTACAGCCACACAAGGGGGAATTACAGCCACACAAGGGGGCATTACAGCCACACAAGGGGGCATTACAGCCACACAAGGGGGAATTACAGCCACACAAGGGGGAATTACAGCCACACAAGGGGGTATTACAGCCACACAAGGGGGTATTACAGCCACACAAGGGGGTATTACAGCCACACAAGGGGAATTACAGCCACACAAGGGGGCATTACAGCCACACAAGGGGGCATTACAGCCACACAAGGGGGATTTACAGCCACACAAGGGGGCATTACAGCCACACAAGGGGGCATTACAGCCACACAAGGGGGTAGTACAGCCACACAAGGGGTATTTACAGCCACCAAGGGGGAATTACAGCCACACAAGGGGGCATTACAGCCACACAAGGGGAATTACAGCCACACAAGGGGGAATTACAGCCACACAAGGGGAATTACAGCCACACAAGGTAGATTACAGCCACACAACAGGGGTATTACAGCCACACAAGGGGGTATTACAGCCACACAAGGGGAATTACAGCCACACAAGGGGGTATTACAGCGCCACACAAGGGTCATTACAGCCACACAAGGGGGAATTACAGCCACAAAAGGGGGGAATTACAGCCACACAAGGGGGAATTACAGCCACACAAGGGGTATTACAGCCACACAAGGGGGAATTACAGCCACACAAGGGGAATTACAGCCACACAAGGGTCATTACAGCCACACAAGGGGTTATTACAGCCACACAAGGGGGAATTACAGCCACACAAGGGGGAATTACAGCCACACAAGGGGTATTACAGCCACACAAGGGGGTATTACAGCCACACAAGGGGGTATTACAGCACACAAGGGGTATTACAGCCACACAAGGGGGGAATTACAGCCACACAAGGGGGGAATTACAGCCACACAAGGGGTCATTACAGCCACACAAGGGGTCATTACAGCCACACAAGGGGGAATTACAGCCACACAAGGGGGAATTACAGCCACACAAGGGGGCATTACAGCCACACAAGGGGGATTTACAGCCACACAAGGGGGATTTACAGCCACACAAGGGGGATTTACAGCCACACAAGGGGGAATTACAGCCACACAAGGGGGAATTACAGCCACACAAGGGGGCATTACAGCCACACAAGGGGGCATTACAGCCACACAAGGGGGAATTACAGCCACACAAGGGGGCATTACAGCCACACAAGGGGGAATTACAGCCACACAAGGGGGAATTACAGCCACACAAGGGGACATTACAGCCACACAAGGGGACATTACAGCCACACAAGGGGACATTACAGCCACACAAGGGGGCATTACAGCCACACAAGGGGGATATTACAGCCACACAAGGGGGTGTTACAGCCACACAAGGGGGTGTTACAGCCACACAAGGGGGTGTTACAGCCATACAAGGGGGAATTACAGCCACACAAGGGGGAATTACAGCCACACAAGGGGGCATTACAGCCACACAAGGGGGTATTACAGCCACACAAGGGGGAATTACAGCCACACAAGGGGGAAATTAACAGCCACACAAGGGGGATTTACAGCCACACAAGGGGGGTATTACAGCCACACAAGGGGGTGTTACAGCCACACAAGGGGGTATTACAGCCACACAAGGGGGCATTACAGCCACACAAGGGGGATTTACAGCCACACAAGGGGGCATTACAGCCACACAAGGGGGTTTTACAGTCTTACCTGTAGCTCATAGGACTCCCTGTCTTACCTGTAGCTCATAGAACTCCCTGTCTTACCTGTAGCTCATAGGACTCCCTGTCTTACCTGTAGCTCATAGAACTCCCTGTCTTACCTGTAGCTCATAGAACTCCCTGTAGCTCATATAACTCCCTGTCTTACCTGTAGCTCATAGAACTCCCCGTCTTACCTGTAGCTCATAGAACTCCCCGTCTTACCTGTAGCTCATAGAACTCCCTGTCTTACCTGTAGCTCATAGGACTCCCTGTCTCACCTGTAGCTCATAGGACTCCCTGTCTTACCTGTAGCTCATAGGACTCCCTGTCTTACCTGTAGCTCATAGGACTCCCTGTCTTACCTGTAGCTCATAGAACTCCCTGTCTTACCTGTAGCTCATAGAACTCCCTGTCTTACCTGTAGCTCATATAACTCCCTGTCTTACCTGTAGCTCATAGAACTCCCTGTCTTACCTGTAGCTCATATGACTCCCTGTCTTACCTGTAGCTCATAGGACTCCCTGTCTTACCTGTAGCTCATAGAACTCCCTGTCTTACCTGTAGCTCATAGAACTCCCTGTCTTACCTGTAGCTCATATAACTCCCTGTCTTACCTGTAGCTCATATGACTCCCTGTCTTACCTGTAGCTCATAGGACTCCCTGTCTTACCTGTAGCTCATAGAACTCCCTGTCTTACCTGTAGCTCATAGGACTCCCTGTCTTACCTGTAGCTCATAGGACTCCCTGTCTTACCTGTAGCTCATAGAACTCCCTGTCTTACCTGTAGCTCATAGGACTCCCTGTCTTACCTGTAGCTCATAGGACTCCCTGTCTTACCTGTAGCTCATAGAACTCCCTGTCTTACCTGTAGCTCATAGAACTCCCTGTCTTACCTGTAGCTCATAGGACTCCCTGTCTTACCTGTAGCTCATAGGACTCCCTGTCTTACCTGTAGCTCATAGAACTCCCTGTCTTACCTGTAGCTCATAGAACTCCCTGTCTTACCTGTAGCTCATAGAACTCCCTGTCCTTCCAGTAGTACAGCTGAAGCTTCTTCTTCACAGCAACACACATCCTCAGCTGGGCCTCTCCTGAAGGGGACTGCTGCAGGAAGAAGCAGAAGAAGACTATTTGTCCCATTGTCAAAGGGAAACAGGAAATATCTTTACAGGAGCTACAGATAGATACAATTAACTGGTTAACATAAAAGACATTTACAGACTATGTCGCCGTCACCAGAGCGTCATTTTACCTGCAGGTCACAGGCGAAGAGCGTTGCCCCTCTGGCCTTGGAGACCACAGTAATCTGCTGGAAGGTCAACAGATCATGCACATGGATGTTGTTCTCTGTAGGGGGAGAGAGGAACACACACATGCAGACACAGACACACACACATAGACACACACACATAGAACAACAACAGACAATATTAAAACAAGCTTTGACCTATGGATTACCGAGATTAACATCCTCATGTTCATGTGAACAATATGGCCTCTTGTTTGCTGAGGGAAATGTTTTACTGTACCTAGCAGACTGATGAGGATCTTGTACTGTGAGACAATGAAGAGCTGCAAGGAAGAGAAGAAAGAGACCAGAGTGAAACTGAGAGGGACAATGGTAACCTGAGGGAGAAAGAGACCAGAGTGAAACTGAGAGGGACAATGGTAACCTGAGGGAGTGTCACCAACTCCTTGTCACTCAAGGACAGCAACGGAGTTGACAAGAGCACATCAAAGATCTGGAACTAGGCTAGGACAACAGTCTCTACTAGATTTGTTTCAATCTGTGGTACTTTTTGTAATTCCTGTCACATCAACAGGATGTGAAGCGTGTGTACATTACGAGAGACGGTAACTGAAAGGGGTCCTGAGGGGGGACAGAGAGAGAGAGACCTCCCAGCTGCCTCCGTCCTCACTCCGTCTGCCTACCTGCTGGATCTTCTTGGAGAAGTTCTTGTTGGATTTCTCCAGAGTCACCTCAAACCTGTTGGTACCTATGAAGAAGAAAGAGAGAGTGGATCTGTTTCCTTGTTTGAGGCACCTGCTACGGAATGAGGTAATAAACACAATGACACTGGAAACTATGCTCACCGAAGCCAACCATACACACACAAAAACACAGGACAGGGACTGAAAGCAGAGGTCTCTCTCTCATTCACCTGCATCCTTTTTGATTCTGTAGAGCAGGAGATGGCCTGGTTTGGTCCCCACTAGAAGCCAGTCCTCTGTGACATGATAGGAAATAGAAGGACCTCAGCATGGTTACGTCCCAAATGGCCCTATGTAGTGCACTACTTTTGATAAGAACCCATAGGGCTCTGGTTAAATACATAGGAAATGCCATTTGGGACACAAGTTATATGAGGACATCACTGGGAGCCATTATAATACAATGGTATTAATTAAATATGACGTGGTCTCCAATAAATCTCTCGGTCATCGACAGGGTGACTTTGTTTACAATTGTCTGTCACCTCAAAACTCATCAAGCTATAAATTGGCTTGCTGTCAAGTTATCAGCTGGCTAGCTGGTAAACAAACCAGCCAGCTAGCTTGTTCATGTCAACAAGAATGTGTGGTTAGCTAGATAGATAGCTAGTTAGTTGACAATATCAATTTACCCCAGGCCGCAAGACAGTCAATCTGGAGAGGCAGTTTCTCCAGGATAGGCACCGGTTCGTAAGCGTCATGCATTGTGGAGCTTTCCTGGTAGCGGAGATCCGATAAATTAACAAGCCGGTTGATGGATAATGTCGTTTCGATTTACTAAGGTAGCTATGAGCTAACGTTTACTAGCCAGCCAGTAATGACAAAAATCACTTTCACGCTGGGCAACGTTACAAGGCACGCCTAAAATGTCATGTCCCCACCAGCCGATCAAACCGTTTCTTTAATCCGTATTGGTGACCTGAAGATAATTCCTGTCATTCGTTGAAACCATGACATCCAAGCAAGTTTCGTCCAAAAAGAAATAGCAAGGAAATTGTTCTAGCCAGCTAGCTAGCGTTAACACACACACAAACGCTAGCTAGCAAGCCAACTAAATTCCGTAGCCATCATCCCATGCTAGTCTTGACCGACCCACTTTTTGACAAGAAAATCAGAAATGACTAGATAAATACTTGTCGTTCAAGTTGCTCAGTTAGCTAATAAGCTAGTTAGCTGGCTAGTTCCTCTCAGTGGCGCTACAGACTCGGGTTCGACAGGCACGTGACTGACGTCAGGACGTTCACGTGGGACCAATTAGAACAAGGCGCACATTCACGAGCGACCAAGCACCGGGCGGATAGAGCGATCAAGCACCGGGCGGATAGAGCGATCAAGCACCGGGCGGATAGAGCGACCAAGCACCGGGCGGATAGAGCGACCAAGCACCGGGCGGATAGAGGAGAATGTGTGTTGTTGCATAAAGCGAAGGGACAAGACTGGAACTACCAATTGGATATCACGAATCGGGGAGAAAAAGGGGTAAACAGTTTTTAAAAATATACAACAATTAATTTATGCAAATTAAGCTTGCATGAACAACACACAGGTCAATTCCATCTCACATAAATACTATATACATATTGTATTCATTTGCATACTTATGACAACGTGGGTTTAATATAACTAAACTTTAATCCAAGAATAACCTTACAAATAAGAAACTACAATGCAGACCCACTTTAATGTTGTCCTTATTTCCTGCTACAAAAACAAAACAAACCCTGGCTGCAATGCATGACAATCTAACAATGCAAAACCATACATTGTAAAAAATCAATTACTAGTCCTAGACTGGCCACATATTGCAGCAGATTACACTAGGCAGGTGTTTGGGGACTTCAAGTTAATTATTTTAGGTGGTGTCAGAATAAAATGGCAGACTAGTGCAGCAGAATAGAGTGACAGAATAGAGTGATAGAGTGGCAGAATAGAGTGATAGAGTGGCAGAATAGAGTTATAGAGTGGCTGAATAGAGTGATAGAGTGGCTGAATAGAGTGATAGAGTGGCTGAATAGAGTGACAGAATAGAGTGATAGAGTGGCTGAATAGAGTGATAGAGTGGCTGAATAGAGTGATAGAGTGGCTGAATAGAGTGATAGAGTGGCTGAATAGAGTGATAGAGTGGCAGAATAGAGTGATAGAGTGGCTGAATAGAGTGATAGAGTGGCTGAATAGAGTGATAGAGTGGCTGAATAGAGTGATAGAGTGGCTGAATAGAGTGATAGAGTGGCTGAATAGAGTGGCAGAATAGAGTGATAGAGTGGCTGAATAGAGTGATAGAGTGGCAGAATAGAGTGATAGAGTGGCAGAATAGAGTGATAGAGTGGCTGAATAGAGTGGCAGAATAGAGTGATAGAGTGGCTGAATAGAGTGATAGAGTGGCAGAATAGAGTGATAGAGTGGCAGAATAGAGTGACAGAATAGAGTGATAGAGTGGCAGAATAGAGTGATACAGTGGATGAAAAGAGTGATAGAGTGGCTGAATAGAGTGATAGAGTGGCAGAATAGAGTGATAGAGTGGCAGAATAGAGTGACAGAATAGAGTGATAGAGTGGCAGAATAGAGTGATAGAGTGGCTGAATAGAGTGATAGAGTGGCAGAATATAGTGGCAGAATAGATTGGCAGAATAGAGTGATAGAGTGGCAGAATAGAGTGATAGAGTGGCTGAATAGAGTGATAGAGTGGCTGAATAGAGTGATAGAGTGGCAGAATAGAGTGATAGAGTGGCAGAATAGAGTGATATAGTGGCTGAATAGAGTGATAGAGTGGCAGAATAGAGTGATAGAGTGGCTAAATAGAGTGATAGAGTGCCATAATAGAGTGATAGAGTGGCATAATAGAGTGATAGAGTGGCTGAATAGAGTGATAGAGTTGCAGAATAGAGTGGCAGAATAGAGTGATAGAGTGGCAGAATAGAGTGGCTGAATAGAGTGATAGAGTTGCAGAATAGAGTGATAGAGTGGCTGAATAGAGTGATAGAGTGGCTGAATAGAGTGGCAGAATAGAGTGATAGAGTTGCAGAATAGAGTGATAGAGTGGCAGAATAGAGTGATAGTTGCTGAATAGAGTGATAGAGTGGCAGAATAGAGTGATAGAGTGGCTGAATAGAGTGATAGAGTGGCTGAATAGAGTGGCAGAATAGAGTGATAGAGTGGCAGAATAGAGTGATAGAGTGGCAGAATAGAGTGATAGAGTGGCAGAATAGAGTGATAGAGTGGCAGAATAGAGTGATAGAGTGGCAGAATAGAGTGATAGAGTGGCTGAATAGAGTGATAGAGTGGCTGAATAGAGTGGCAGAATAGAGTGATAGAGTGGCAGAATAGAGTGATAGAGTGGCAGAATAGAGTGATAGAGTGGCAGAATAGAGTGATAGAGTGGCAGAATAGAGTGGCAGAATAGAGTGGCAGAATAGAGTGATAGAGTGGCTGAATAGTGTGATAGAGTGGCTGAATAGAGTGATAGAGTGGCTGAATAGAGTGATAGAGTGGCTGAATAGAGTGATAGAGTGGCAGAATAGAGTGGCAGAATAGGGTGATAGAGTGGCTGAATAGAGTGATAGAGTGGCTGAATAGAGTGATAGAGTGGCTGAATAGAGTGATAGAGTTGCAGAATAGCGTGGCAGAATAGAGTGATAGAGTGGCAGAATAGAGTGATAGAGTGGCAGAATAGAGTGATAGAGTGGACTGAATAGAGTGATAGAGTGGCTGAATAGAGTGATAGAGTTGCAGAATAGAGTGATAGAGTGGCAGAATAGAGTGATAGAATTGCAGATAGAGTGGCAGAATAGAGTGATAGAGTGGCAGAATAGAGTGATAGAGTGGCTGAATAGAGTGATAGAGTGGCAGAATAGAGTGGCAGAATAGATTGGCGAATAGAGTGATAGAGTGGCAGAATAGAGTGATAGAGTGGCTGAATAGAGTGGCAGAATAGAGTGATAGAGTGGCAGAATAGAGTGATAGAGTGGCTGAATAGAGTGATAGAGTGGCAGAATAGAGTGATAGAGTGGCTGAATAGAGTGATAGAGTGGCAGAATAGAGTGGCAGAATAGATTGGCAGAATAGAGTGATAGAGTGGCTTGAATAGAGTGATAGAGTGGCAGAATAGAGTGATAGAGTGGCTGAATAGAGTGATATGAGTGCAGAATAGAGTGATAGAGTGGCTGAATAGAGTGATAGAGTGGCTGAATAGAGTGATAGAGTGGCAGAATAGAGTGATAGAGTGGCAGAATAGAGTGATAGAGTGGCAGAATAGAGTGATAGAGTGGCTGAATAGAGTGATAGAGTTGCAGAATAGAGTGGCAGAATAGAGTGATAGAGTGGCAGAATAGAGTGATAGAGTGGCAGAATAGAGTGATAGAGTGGCTGAATAGAGTGATAGAGTGGCAGAATAGAGTGATAGAGTGGCTGAATAGAGTGATAGAGTGGCAGAATAGAGTGATAGAGTGGCAGAATAGAGTGGCAGAATAGAGTGATAGAGTGGCAGAATAGAGTGATAGAGTGGCAGAATAGAGTGATAGAGTGGCTGAATAGAGTGATAGAGTGGCAGAATAGAGTGGCAGCATAGAGTGGCAGAATAGAGTGATAGAGTTGCAGAATAGAGTGATAGAGTGGCAGAATAGGGTGATAGAGTGGCTGAATAGAGTGATAGAGTGGCTGAATAGAGTGATAGAGTGGCAGAATAGAGTGATAGAGTGGCTGAATAGAGTGATAGAGTGGCAGAATAGAGTGATAGAATTGCAGAATAGAGTGGCAGAATAGAGTGATACAGTGGATGAAAAGAGTGATAGAGTGGCTGAATAGAGTGATAGAGTGGCTGAATAGAGTGATAGAGTGGCAGAATAGAGTGATAGAGTGGCTGAATAGAGTGATAGAGTGGCAGAATAGAGTGATAGAGTGGCTGAATAGAGTGATAGAGTGGCTGAATAGAGTGATAGAGTGGCTGAATAGAGTGATAGAGTGGCAGAATATAGTGGCAGAATAGATTGGCAGAATGAATAGAGTGATAGAGTGGCTGAATAGAGTGATAGAGTGGCTGAATAGAGTGATAGAGTGGCAGAATAGAGTTATAGAGTGGCTGAATAGAGTGATAGAGTGGCAGAATAGAGTGATAGAGTGGCTGAATAGAGTGATAGAGTGGCATAATAGATGATAGAGTGGCTGAATAGAGTGATAGAGTGGCAGAATAGAGTTGATAGAGTGCTGAATAGAGTGATAGAGTGGCAAGGAATAGAGTGGCTGAATAGAGTGATAGAGTGGCTGAATAGAGTGATAGAGTGGCAGAATAGAGTGATAGAGTGGCAGAATAGAGTGATAGAGTGGCAGAATAGAGTGATAGAGTGGCTGAATAGAGTGATAGAGTGGCTGAATAGAGTGATAGAGTGGCATAATAGAGTGATAGAGTGGCTGAATAGAGTGATAGAGTTGCAGAATAGAGTGGCAGAATAGAGTGATAGAGTGGCAGAATAGAGTGGCTGAATAGAGTGATAGAGTTGGCAGAATAGAGTGATAGAGTGGCTGAATAGAGTGATAGAGTGGCTGAATAGAGTGGCAGAATAGAGTGATAGAGTTGCAGAATAGAGTGATAGAGTGGCAGAATAGAGTGATAGTTGCTGAATAGAGTGATAGAGTGGCAGAATAGAGTGATAGAGTGGCTGAATAGAGTGATAGAGTGGCTGAATAGAGTGGCAGAATAGAGTGATAGAGTGGCAGAATAGAGTGATAGAGTGGCAGAATAGAGTGATAGAGTGGCAGAATAGAGTGATAGAGTGGCAGAATAGAGTGATAGAGTGGCAGAATAGAGTGGCAGAATAGAGTGATAGAGTGGCTGAATAGAGTGATAGAGTGGCTGAATAGAGTGGCAGAATAGAGTGATAGAGTGGCAGAATAGAGTGATAGAGTGGCAGAATAGAGTGATAGAGTGGCAGAATAGAGTGATAGAGTGGCAGAATAGAGTGATAGAGTGGCAGAATAGAGTGGCAGAATAGAGTGATAGAGTGGCTGAATAGAGTGATAGAGTGGCTGAATAGAGTGATAGAGTGGCTGAATAGAGTGATAGAGTGGCTGAATAGAGTGATAGAGTGGCAGAATAGAGTGGCAGAATAGGGTGATAGAGTGGCTGAATAGAGTGATAGAGTGGCTGAATAGAGTGATAGAGTGGCTGAATAGAGTGATAGAGTTGCAGAATAGCGTGGCAGAATAGAGTGATAGAGTGGCAGAATAGAGTGATAGAGTGGCAGAATAAAGTGATAGAGTGACTGAATAGAGTGATAGATTGGCTGAATAGAGTGATAGAGTTGCAGAATAGAGTGATAGAGTGGCAGAATAGAGTGATAGAATTGCAGAATAGAGTGGCAGAATAGAGTGATAGAGTGGCAGAATAGAGTGATAGAGTGGCTGAATAGAGTGATAGAGTGGCAGAATAGAGTGGCAGAATAGATTGGCTGAATAGAGTGATAGAGTGGCTGAATAGAGTGATAGAGTGGCTGAATAGAGTGACAGAATAGAGTGATAGAGTGGCAGAATAGAGTGATAGAGTGGCTGAATAGAGTGATAGAGTGGCAGAATAGAGTGATAGAGTGGCTGAATAGAGTGATAGAGTGGCAGAATAGAGTGGCAGAATAGATTGGCAGAATATAGTGATAGAGTGGCTGAATAGAGTGATAGAGTGGCTGAATAGAGTGATAGAGTGGCAGAATAGAGTGATAGAGTGGCTGAATAGAGTGATAGAGTGGCAGAATAGAGTGATAGAGTGGCTGAATAGAGTGATAGAGTGGCTGAATAGAGTGATAGAGTGGCAGAATAGAGTGATAGAGTGGCAGAATAGAGTGATAGAGTGGCAGAATAGAGTGATAGAGTGGCTGAATAGAGTGATAGAGTTGCAGAATAGAGTGGCAGAATAGAGTGATAGAGTGGCAGAATAGAGTGATAGAGTGGCATAATAGAGTGATAGAGTGGCTGAATAGAGTGATAGAGTGGCATAATAGAGTGATAGAGTGGCTGAATAGAGTGATAGAGTGGCAGAATAGAGTGGCAGAACAGAGTGATAGAGTGGCTGAATAGAGTGATAGAGTGGCATAATAGAGTGATAGAGTGGCTGAATAGAGTGATAGAGTGGCAGAATAGAGTGGCAGAATAGAGTGATAGAGTTGCAGAATAGAGTGATAGAGTGGCAGAATAGAGTGATAGAGTGGCTGAATAGAGTGATAGAGTGGCTGAATAGAGTGATAGAGTGGCAGAATAGAGTGATAGAGTGGCTGAATAGAGTGATAGAGTGGCAGAATAGAGTGATAGAATTGCAGAATAGAGTGGCAGAATAGAGTGATACAGTGGATGAAAAGAGTGATAGAGTGGCTGAATAGAGTGATAGAGTGGCTGAATAGAGTGATAGAGTGGCAGAATAGAGTGATAGAGTGGCTGAATAGAGTGATAGAGTGGCAGAATAGAGTGATAGAGTGGCTGAATAGAGTGATAGAGTGGCTGAATAGAGTGATAGAGTGGCTGAATAGAGTGATAGAGTGGCAGAATATAGTGGCAGAATAGATTGGCAGAATAGAGTGATAGAGTGGCTGAATAGAGTGATAGAGTGGCTGAATAGAGTGATAGAGTGGCAGAATAGAGTGGCAGAATAGAGTGATAGAGTGGCAGAATAGAGTGATAGAGTGGCTGAATAGAGTGGCAGAATAGAGTGATAGAGTGGCAGAATAGAGTGATAGAGTGGCAGAATAGAGTGATAGAGTGGCAGAATAGAGTGATAGAGTGGGCTGAATAGATGATAGAGTGGCTGAATAGAGTGATAGAGTGGCTGAATAGAGTGATAGAGTGGCAGAATAGAGTGATAGAGTGGCTGAATAGAGTGATAGAGTGGCTGAATAGAGTGATAGAGTGGCTGAATATAGTGGCAGAATAGAGTGGCAGAATAGAGTGATAGAGTGGCTGAATATAGTGGCAGAATAGAGTGATAGAGTTGCAGAATAGAGTGATAGAGTGGCAGAATAGAGTGATAGAGTGGCTGAATAGAGTGATAGAGTGGCTGAATAGAGTGATAGAGTGGCTGAATAGAGTGATAGAGTGGCAGAATAGAGTGGCAGAATAGAGTGATAGAGTGGCAGAATAGAGTGATAGAGTGGCAGAATAGAGTGATAGAGTGGCTGAATAGAGTGATAGAGTGGCTGAATAGAGTGATAGAGTGGCTGAATAGAGTGATAGAGTGGCAGAATAGAGTGGCAGAATAGAGTGATAGAGTGGCAGAATAGAGTGATAGAGTGGCAGAATAGAGTGATAGAGTGGCTGAATAGAGTGATAGAGTGGCTGAATAGAGTGATAGAGTGGCTGAATAGAGTGGCAGAATAGAATGATAGAGTGGCTGAATATAGTGGCAGAATAGAGTGATAGAGTTGCAGAATAGAGTGATATAGTGGCAGAATAGAGTGATAGAGTGGCAGAATAGAGTGATAGATTGGCAGAATAGAGTGATAGAGTGGCTGAATAGAGTGGCAGAATAGAGTGATAGAGTGGCAGAATAGAGCGATAGAGTGGTTGAATAGAGTGATAGAGTGGCTGAATAGAGTGATAGAGTGGCAGAATAGAGTGGCAGAATAGAGTGATAGAGTGGCAGAATAGAGCGATAGAGTGGTTGAATAGAGTGATAGAGTGGCAGAATAGAATGATAGAGTGGCTGAATAGAGTGATAGAGTGGCTGAATATAGTGGCAGAATAGAGTGATAGAGTGGCTGAATATAGTGGCAGAATAGAGTGATAGAGTGGCTGAATAGAGTGGCAGAATAGAGTGATAGAGTGGCTGAATAGAGTGATAGAGTGGCAGAATAGAGTGATAGAGTGGCAGAATAGAGTGATAGAGTGGCTGAATAGAGTGATAGAGTGGCTGAATAGAGTGATAGAGTGGCAGAATAGAGTGATAGAGTGGCAGAATAGAGTGATAAAGTGGCTGAATAGAGTGATAGAGTGGCAGAATAGAGTGATAGAGTGGCAGAATAGAGTGATAGAGTTGCTGAATAGAGTGATAGAGTGGCTGAATAGAGTGGCAGAATAGAGTGATAGAGTGGCAGAATAGATTGATAGAGTGGCTGAATAGAGTGATAGAGTGGCTGAATAGAGTGATAGAGTGGCAGAATAGAGTGATAGAGTGGCAGAATAGAGTGATAGAGTGGCTGGAATAGAGTGATAGAGTGGCAGAATAGAGTGATAGAGTGGCAGAATAGAGTGATAGAGTGGCAGAATAGAGTGATAGAGTGGCTGAATAGAGTGGCAGAATAGAGTGATAGAGTGGCAGAATAGAGTGATAGAGTGGCTGAATAGAGTGATAGAGTGGCTGAATAGAGTGATAGAGTGGCAGAATAGAGTGATAGAGTGGCAGAATAGAGTGATAAAGTGGCTGAATAGAGTGATAGAGTGGCAGAATAGAGTGGATAGAGTGGCAGAATAGAGTGATAGAGTGGCTGAATAGAGTGATAGAGTGGCTGAATAGAGTGGCAGAATAGAGTGATAGAGTGGCAGAATAGAGTGATAGAGTGGCTGAATAGAGTGATAGAGTGGCAGAATAGAGTGATAGAGTGGCTGAATAGAGTGATAGAGTGGCAGAATAGAGTGATAGAGTGGCAGAATAGAGTGATAGAGTGGCAGAATAGAGTGGATGAGTGGCTGCTAGAGTGATAGAGTGGCTGAAATATAGTGATAGAGTGGCTTGAATAGAGTGGGCAGAAATAGAGTGGCTGAATAGAGTGGCAGAATAGAGTGATAGAGTGGGCTGAATGATGATGAGGGTTGCTTATGTTTCCATTTTCCTCCTAGGCTTTACATTTACATTTACATTTACGTCATTTAGCAGCGCTCTTATCCAGACGACTTACAAATTTAGAAGTAGCTAAAGACCAAGCATTACTTACCCAGTTCCAGGTCGGGTGATATTTTCGGATTTCTGTTGTGCTTCTTTGCTGGTTTGTTGGTTTGTCAGAAAGTTTGCTGGATAGTCCTTGGGCAGTAGAATCCTTCAGGTAATTTTGTCCAATATCAGGTTGGATCAGGTGTTTTGAGTTTTGATTTGGAGTAAAAGTATGTGTGGAGGGGTGTATTTTTCAGTT